ACCGGTCGGTAGAAGTTGGTGAACCGGAAATCCAAAAACCTATCAAGCTGGCTTGACCGGACCACGGACTCGCGCCAAACACCAACTCAGGCCAACGCAGATTAAAAGGGGGAGAGGTCATCAGACCCAGATGAGATTCGCACCGGACTGGTAGACAGAAGGTCATCCCAAGCTACGGAAAAGTGCTTCTCCGAGGAAAAACCCAGAAGAGCGGGAGAGCAACCTTTGCTAAGTCATTTTGGAAACCCGGAACGTGTTCGATAGAGACCGCGATCCGGAACCACTGTTGACAACGGAGAAATTGGCCCAAGACATGGCAAAGTCCAGTGGCCATGGAAAGTCCTTTCCAGGCCGCGGACTTAGCTGTGGAGTTGTTACAACGGAACAGGACATGTATGGGTGGATGTCCAGACGGAAGTAACCGGTGCAGGAGCAGCAAAAGCGCACACTGCGCAAGGAGCTCCCAAGTGCTAATGAACGGCTGGAGAGGCTCAGAGGCATTAAGCCACGGACATAAGGCGCAGAGCGCCGAAGCATCAAACTGATGTTGGAAGTAAAGCCTGTTACCGGACGGAAGGCGGACAAATCCGCCGAGGCCGGCAGAAGAAGCAGAGGCGCACGCGTCCGCAAAAGCTTCTAAGGTGAACGTGGGCGGCAAACGAAGTGACCGGAAGGGAACGCCAGAGGCGATGAGGTCACACCACAACCGGAGTGCAACTTTGGACTCTTCGGAAACAGTGCGTGTGGGACTGCGAGTGGCAGTGACCTGAATCCAGACACGACGCGATTCAACCGGGTTGGTGGGTACGTCCGACAAGGAGGAAATGGCCGCTTGGACACAAGTACGAAGGAGGCTTTTGGCTCAATTAATTTGCTGCGAAAAATGAAGCATTTGTTTTGCAAAGACTAACATGTTATTAACGCGTCATAACACGTTAATAACGCGTCACAACATGCACAACACGTTAACGCGTCATAACACGTTAATAACGCGTCACAACATGCTAACAACACGTTAATGCTGCATACGCGGTCACTACGGTCACTACGGTCACTACGCGGTCGCTACGGTCACTACGCGGTAATAATATGTGAGGGTATGCTCATGGGACCTCTTTCTGTTTTTGGCGAAAAGCGGCGAAATTAAGCAACTTTTGATGTCACTGCTTTGTGCAGTTGTGCGCATCTTTGTGATAATGGAGCGCTTTTTTGCAAAACTAACATGTCTGTGCAAACATGTTGGCAACACACGTTATAACATGTTAACAACGCGTTACGACACGTTAACAACACGTTAACAACACGTTATGACATTTTGCATCGGCTGAAGTGTCCCCCCACTCCAGCGAGCGACGGTTTGCAAAAGTTGCGCGAAAGCTGCGCAGCAAGCGCCCGGCCAGCGATTTTCAAT